CCTCCTCCCCCTCCTCCTCCTCCTCCTCCTCCTCCTCCTCCTCCTCCTTCTCCTCGATCTCCTCTTATTTCTCCTCCTCATCCTCCTCCTCCTGGTCCTCCTTTCCCGTTCCCCTCGGATCTTTCACTTTCACAAACATTACGACGTCTGTTTTTTCAGATTTTCAGGCTGCAGGGGCCCTCGCCAGGCCCCGGGATTGTCAAACAACAGCTTAGGATGAAGCACCGGTCCCGGGGAACGTGTCGAGAAGTCGGGGTCAACGATAGGGGGGGACAGCCATAGGGGGGGAATGCAACGACCCGCAATCGCCCATTGATCGCCGATAGGGGCCCGATAGCCCCACCCCGCCCAGGAAGGTGCGGTCTCGCAATCGGAGGGCCAATCGTCGATCTATCGACTAGGTATCGCGGATTCCAGGCAGATGCATTCCCCCCTATGCCAGTCCCCCCCCCTATCGTTGCCCCTCGTCGAGAAGTCTTTGTCCCACGTCGTGCCGCAGGCGTGGCGTCGGGGGGGGGGTCTGGGCAGGCGACCCTGATTACCAATCCTGGCCTCCTCGGGCCCCGGGCCTACGTAGGATATCCGCGCGTGTGCGTGCGCGTGTTTGTGTGTGTGTGTGTGCGTGTGCGTGTGCGTGTGTGTGTGTGTGTGTGTGTGTGTGTGTGTGTGTGTGTGTGTGTGTGTGTGTGTGTGTGTGTGTGTGTGTGTGTGTGTGTGTGTGTGTGTGTGTGTGTGTGTGTGTGTGTGTGTGTGTGTGTGTGTGTGTGTGTGTGTGTGTGTTGTGTGTGCGTGTGTGTGTGTGTGTGTGTGTGTGTGTGTGTGTGTGTGTGTGTGTGTGTGTGCGTGTGCGTGCGTGCGTGCGTGCGTGTGCGTGTGCGTGTGCGTGTGCGTGTGCGTGTGCGTGTGCGTGTGCGTGTGCGTGTGCGTGTGCGTGTGCGTGTGCGTGTGCGTGTGCGTGTGCGTGTGCGTGTGCGTGTGCGTGTGCGTGTGCGTGTGCGTGTGCGTGTGCGTGTGCGTGTGCGTGTGCGTGTGCGTGTGCGTGTGCGTGTGCGTGTGTGGGTGTGGGTGTGGGTGTTGGTGTGGGTGTGTGTGTGTGGGTGTGTGTGTGTGTGTGTGTCCGTGTCCGTGTGTGTGTGTGCGCCGTGCCTGCCGCAAGGGCAGGGTTGCGCGTGCACCGATCATCGGCCCAGGATGGGCCTCTCGCCAGGATCGGAGCGCCCGTCGGTCGTTGAGAGTTGGTATTATCGTAGTCCCAGGTAAGCGCCTTCCCACCTCAATGGTCGAGCGGCCTCAGCCGGGGGGGAGCGTGAGACTCCAGCAAGCCAGAGCTCGGGCTTGCCTGCGTGTTGTTGACGAGCGCGTCCTGGGGTTTGACGGTCCGGTCTTCGTGGGATGTTTGGAGCAGGAGTTCGCATCACATTTCAGTTTGGGTCTCGTCATTTTTATGATGGCCCCGTCAGGCCAGTCTTGAGTCCCCCGTCCCGAGTCTTGCGTCTCCCCGACTCTGCCAGGATCTGAGTAGGCGTACGGTTGGCCTAGAGGGCAGAACATCCACCCCGATAAGAAGCACCCGAGCAAGCGAAGCCGTTCAGCACACGCGCCCGAGGGAGGAAGTTCGAACAGGGCGGGGCGGTGTAGGGAACGCCAGTTTTCGGGTCTGGGTGCTTTTCCCTCCCTTGACGCTTGCCTCCTATGCCAGGGGCGACGGGGACACGGAGACCGCAGCGGCCCTCGAGGGGAAGTCCGCCGTGGCGCTCTACTTCGCGGATGCCTCCGAGGCGAGCAAGGACCGCGGGCGGGCGACTGTCGTCCCATGTGCCAGGCGTGTTCGCGCGTCGCGAAACAATATCGTAGACCCGATGGCCTCCAGGGGCCCATCGGCGGGCCCCGGGCCCTATAAAAGGCGCTGCGGGGCGAGAAGTGGTCCGTGGGGAAAGGGTCGGGACTTCCGGGACCCCGTCGACAAAAGGCAAGGCAGCGGATGTCTGTGCCCCGAGTGGCGGCCTCGCAGGAGTTCACGGCCACCTTCGGCAAGGCATACAACGAGGCCCTCAGCGACAAGGGGCTGGAGGTGGTCTTCGTCCCGTGCTGCGAGTCCGAGGAGGAGCGGAGGGGACACACACACACACCGATGCGGACGTCCTTCCTTCGCTTTGGTGTCTGGGTGTCTCCTGGGGAGCCCCCGCCGGCACGGCTGGATTCGCCTCGGAGTCCTTCTTCCGAACACGCCCCGGCATAGGGCCAGGGAGCTGCAGGATCAGTATATTCCCCAAAATCAGCGCTTGCACTGACGGAGTCCTTGCGGACATTGATTGACTTGGCGAAAGTGTCCCGCCGATTCGGTGGCCGGCTGAGTTCCCAGGTTCCGAGTTCCGGGTTCCCGGGTTCCTGGTTATATGGGTTCCGGGCCGACCTCGGTGGGTTCCGGGTTCCCGGGCTCCGGGTCGATCTCTTCATCGATCAAACCATCCGCTGATCGGGGCTTTCCTCTGGTGTCATGTTCTCCCTCCCGCCCAGAGGAGGCGGGCGGCGTCTTCGAAGAGATGCCCTGGCTCATGCTGCCCTTCGACTGCGAGGCGGAGCGGCAGGCCCTGGTCGAGAAGTTTCACGGGGGCGCCGCCCCGGTGCTGGTCATCCTGGACGCGGAGGCACAGCTCATCACCGCCGAGGGCGTGGCCAAGGTGACCCAGGATGGAGGGTTGCTCTGAAGGGCTTAGGCGACCCGTCCTCCTCCTGTCTCCTCCCTCCTCCTCCTCCTCCTCCTCCTCCTCCTCCTCCTCCTCCTCCTCCTCCTCCTCCCTGCTCCTCAGCCCCCTCCTCCTCCCTGCTCCTCAGCCCCCTCCTCCTCCTCCTTCCCCTGCTCCACACCCTCCTCCTCCCTCTCCCCCTCCTCCACCTCCTCGTCGTCCTCCTCCTCCTCCTCGGGTCGCCTGCGGCCCTGGGGGAAACCGTGCAACTCAGGACCCGCAGGGGGACGGGTTCCCGTGGCAGACACCAGTCCTGACGGAGCAGGAGGTCCTCGTCAGGATGGGCACGGTGCCGCCAGAGGCGGGCCAGAGCGGCCTCAAGGGGATCTTCATCAACAGCAAGAACTACCTGAGTCTCGGCCTCGTGGACCAGCAGGAGGAGGACGACGACGTGCCGTTCTCGGGGATGAAGCTCAAGCCCTACTGCAAGGTGGACAAGGCCGGGGCGCTCGAGGAGGTCAAGAAGATGGGCTTCGCGTCGGACTGGCACCAGCAGCACAAGGAGATAGAGAAGTTCGGGGGCGCGGAGCTGCTCCTCATGTTCGATCCGGAGAAGGCCTTCGGCGAGAAGATGGTCTGGTGCACAACACTGGACGCATACAACCGGGAGTGGGAGCGGATCCAGGGCCTCCGGAACGCCGTCGTCGCGGAGTTCGAGGCGAGCCTCCGCCCAGGCTCGGGCGGCGGCACGGGTGGTGCCCAGGAGCCACGGCACGACTTCCACTGGCAACTGCTACCGTTAGGTCGGGCATGTCCTCCTACAGGCGGATGTTGGACAAACTATGTAAAATAGCCAACACATATCCAAACATAATCCAACATAGTAGACAAATCGTCACCACATTATTTTCGGCTATTTTTGAGTATTCTTCCTATAGAGGGACTCGCCCGACTTTACGGCTACCAATCGGAGGTGGGTCGCCCTCGGAGCCAGCTAGGGGTCTGAGGTGGCCCGGCATTGGGTGAGCAAGAGGGGGGGGGAGGTTCGAGGCTCTGGGTTCGAACAGGTGTTGTGCCTCTGGTGGCCTCTGGGGGCTTTTTCGGACCCGAGATTGTCATAGGGGAACGAAGAATGACATAAAGATAAAAACTCGGAGATCCGCGCGGATTTCTCGGATCCGCGCTGGACCCCCCCTGGCGGCGCCTCCGGAGCCGCTCCTGGCGCGCCCAGCGCGACAGGGAGGGGGGTCCAGCGCCGATCCGAGAAATTCGCGCGGACCTCCAAGCTTTTATGTTTATTTATGTCATTCTTCGTTCCCCTATGTCAAACAACGGATCCAGGATGAACAACTGCACCAGAAGGACCCCGGGAGGAGCTGATCTTGAGCGGATTTGCCTATCCCCGCTTTTCTTGGCAGACTTCCTTGGTGCCCTGTCCAGTTCGGACCCCGCGGCCACCTCCGAGGTGGCCTTCCAGACATCGCATCCTCCTCCTCCTTCTCCTCCTGCCCCTCTCCCTTCTCCTCCTCCTCCTCCTCCTCCTCCTCCTTCTCCTCCTCCTCCCTCTCCTCCTCCCCCTCCTCCTGCTTCAGCGCGCCACTGAAGCCAGCGCGCACTGGAGCTTTCCAGATCTGCCAGGCAATCCGCCTCGCATGCTCCTGCAGGCAGCGGTCGCAGTGGAATTTCGGGCACTGAAGGAGGGCGAAGCGGAGGAGGAGCGGGAGGACGACATAGTTGTCCGTGACGCGCCGAAAGATTGCGGAGAGTGGAAGTCCAAGACGATGGAGGATACCCACAACGAGGTAAAGAACTTCACGGTGCACAACTCGCGTCCTAAGATGCAGATCATGATCATGCGCCCCCGCTTGCAATTCGGCAAGCCGTTCAAGTTCACGGACTCTGGCGAGAACATCAACGGGGCGAGGCCGCAGAAGGACCCAAACTTTTCCCTCTTCCGCAAGGAGCTGGAGCTGGGCATACAGGCCGTCAAGGAGACGAGGTCCATCGCTTGCCAGACCACTTGGTACCGGCCCGTGAACAAGTCGACCCAGTACTCGCCGAACGACTTCCTGCCGAAGCAGACGGACGCTGGCTACGACAAGGTGGACGAGCTCACAGAGTTTCTCGCGTTCGTCAGCGTTGGCGTCGAGGAAGCCCTGCAGACCAACGAGACCGTCGACATCTTCCAGGAGGAGTTCGCGCACCTCGGAGAGGCGGACGCTGGCACCACCTCGGACGCCAACTCGGGCATCAAGGACCTGAGGACCTTCCAGGACTCGCCGACGGAAACACTGCCTCAATTGGTGGGCACATTTGCCACCACCGCTACGATATGTAGGACGGGGGAGAAGAGAGGATGAGGATGTCCTCCTCCTCCTCCGATATATGGTGGTGGTGGTGGTGGTGGTGGAAAGTGGGTCCATCATCAACGCCAAGGTGCGGAGGTCCGCCCGGAGTTTCTGGATCTGCGCTGAACCCCCCTTGGCAGCGCCTCTGGCGCCGCATCTGGCGGGCTCCGTCCGCCGGGGAGGGGGGTCCGGCGCAGATTCCAGGAGTCCGCGCGGACCTCCTCCTCCTCCTCCTCCTCCTCCTCATCCTCCTCTCTCCTCTCCTCCTCCTCCTCCTCCTCCTCCTCCTCCTCCTCCTCCTCCTCCTCCTCCTCCTCCTCCTCCTCCTCCTCCTCCTCCTCCTCCTCCCTCTGTTCCGTTGCCCGAAGGACGTGAACCTCACCAAGGGCAAGCGCATCGAGTGCGTGGAGTGGGTCCCCGGCTCCACGGACATGCTCGCGTGCTCCTGCTGCGAGAGCCTCCCGTTCTCCGAGCGGCTGGAGAGCTCCGGCAAGGCCACGGACAGCACGATCCTGATCTGGTCCTTCCAGGACCCCCTCCTCCTCCTCCTCTTCCTCCCTCCTCCTCCTCCCTCCTCCCTCCTCCTCCTCTTCCTCCTCCCTCCTCCTCCTCCTCCTCCTCCTGCTCCTCCTCCTCCTTCTCCCCCTCCTCTTCCAGGACCCCCTGGCGCCCCACGCGATCCTGAAGTCACCCTGGGAGGTCCCGGTGTTCAAGTTCTACCCCAGCGACGAGAAGTTTCTGGTCGCGGGGCTCAGCAGCGGGCAGGTGGCGGTGTGGAAGCTCTCCGACGCCGACCTCGGCCACGCGGTGCGGGAGAAGGGTAAGGGCGCGCAGGAGGACGAGCGGAGCTCTGCCACGCCGATGGTGAGGCACAAGCAGATGTCCATCATCGACGAGTCTCACAGGAAGCCCGTCATGGCTATCGAGTGGCTCCCGCCCACTATCGAGATCGAGAAGAGGGGTCGCGGCGCAAGCGAGAAGCACCCCAAGGACGGCCCCGTGAAGTACTTCGTCACCATCGCCGGCGACGGCCAGGTTCTGATCTGGAACTTCCAGGAGGTCCTGGACTCCATCAACGACGCGGACTTCCTGTGGCAGCCGATACACAGCGGCAACCGCCGGGTGCAGCTGCAGCGCCAGGACAGCGGCACAGAGATGGGGTGTTGCCACCTCCTCTACTGTAGCGACAGGTGTGCAAGGCGGGGACTTACGCATCACCACCGTCCAGAGGATCGATCTCTCGGGGACCTCGGCAGGCGGTGGACATGGACATCTGTATCTGCCAGCCTGAGGGCTTGAATGATGTCCGCATTCTCCGCCGTCTGCCGAGGTCCCCTAGGGATCGACCCCCCCCGGGCGGTGGTGATGGCTAGATCCCCGCCTCGGCGCAGGTACGACGACAAGGGCGTCAAGCTGCTCACACAGTTCTATGCCTCCACGGAGGAGGGGGAGCTGATCCTTGGCGACTGGGCCGCGCGCGCGGAGGAGGACAGGAAGGCGGAGTTCGTCAAGAAGATCTTCCCCGTCTCCAAGACCTTCCGGCCGATGCTCTCTCTGGAGCGGTCCCCGTTCTTCCCGGAGATCATCCTGGGCGTCACGGACTGGGCGTTCTTCCTCTGGAAGGACGGCGTCAAGGAGCACCTGTTCCAGTCCTCCTACACCTCCACGTACTTCACGCGCGGCGTCTGGAGCCCCACCCGCCCGTCGGTCATCTTCCTGGGCCTCACCAGCGGCGGGATCGACATCTGGGACTTCAGCGACCAGTCCCACAAGGCTCGGAGGAAGCCAGCAGTACCACTGGGATGAGGAGGAGGAGGAGGAGGAGGAGGAGGAGGAGGAGGAGGAGCAGGAGCAGCAGGAAATGCGTCAGTCCTGGCAAGGCCCGGTTTGGGCCCGGGATCGGTGCACGTGTCCTCACGTCCAGGCCCCTTGGGACTCTCTTGCCTTCGTACCTGCTGGGGTGGTCGTCTTCGGGCGATCGTGGAGGCCCCCTGGGCCGACACTGGGCGCTCTTAAGACCCAGAAGGCAGGCACGATACAATCATGCAAGCCTTGCAAGTAGGGCTCCCGGGCAAGCCCTCAGGGCATCTAGGACGGTCTGGGAGATCTTCGATCAATGCGTGGTCGAAGACTGGGTCCCAAATAGAAGCGGGGCCCCTGAGTTGGGGATCTCGCTGCCATTAAATCCTTGAAGCGTAGCTGTGTCCACGAGTGGAAAAAAACAGACAGACACAAATAAACGTCGATCCCCAGGAACGTATATGAAAATATAGGAAGTGGGGATGGGAAGGCGAAACTCCAGAAACTATGGAACAGATGGGGATTCCTGGGATTTGTGTCTATTGATTTGTGTGTCCCTGGGCCCATTCACGTGTAAGTACTTAGTACGCTGGGTCCTTCAGGAACCTGAGGACGCTCCACTCAGTGCCTGCGACTCGGTGGCGGATGACGGAAAACGCCTCTGGCGTGGATCGTTTTTTGGTTGTAATTGATTTGTTCCTCGCATCCCGAAATTTGCTGGCGGATGACGGGAAGCGCGCTCAGACTCGAAGAGTCGCGCGATGGACGTTGCTATCGACCCGGGAGGGTAAAGTACGAGAATCAGATTTTCATCTAAGGGGGTGCAGGGGGGGAAGGGCTCGGGATCGCTCCGTGGCCCAAGACCTGGCGGATTCGCAAGGATTGCGGTTTCGCATGCGACGTCCTCACGAAATCGGGATGTTGGGAGGGGTCTCTGTTATGACATTCTTTGTCAAAAATGAAGCTCTCGCTGCAGACATCGTCAAACAGTGGTGATCTTGAAATCGCTCGCGAAACGCTCCAATCTTCAAAAGTTGAGCTCTCGCCTGAGACATCCTCAAGCACTAGGATGGTCGACGAGCTGTTTTAAGACGTCTTTTCGGAGCGCTCTTGGCTTACCTCCACGATGGCCCAGGCATCAAAATTATTGAACACACCCAGTGGTGTTCAGCACTACAGTCGGCCCAGATTAGTAGGTCGACCCTGCCAAATCAAGGGTACCCTTGTGTCCTGTGTCTCTCGACCCATGCTTCCTAATTTCCTGTGGTAGTGTGGCCCTCGGAAGGGTCTTTTGTCCTCTCGCGTGTCCTGTCCAATGAAGTCCGACTGTTTTGTGTACAAGTGAGCGTTTCGCCCGAGACATCCCCCAACTGTCCTCGAACGGGGCTTGATAAACACAGCTGATCACGTCGAAGGAACCGATCTCGATGATGGTGCCGATGATGATGCTGATGATGATGATGTTGATGATGATGCTGATGGTGATGGTGAGGATGAGGGTAGTGACGTTGATATCGATGTTGGTACTCTTGTTGCCCGCGCCCTTTGTACCGCCAGGTATAAATCACCGCCCGTGCGAGTTCAACGCAGGAACGCAGAAAGCCCAAGCACGTGCTAATACGTATACCCTGTGGAAGTTCGGACATATGTGACGATACATATGTTAATGATGAAAGCGAGGGGAAGTCTGAGGATTTTGGAGGATACAACTGAGCGAGGGGAAACTCAGCAACGTGATTGTGGACGTTCGGAGTGCGCGCGCCCAGAAGTATCCCTTGTGAGCGTTTGGAGAGCTGGGCTACATTCGATTTGATCGTGGTGACGGTGTATGTCCTTGCACAACTCGTCATGTTCCTGCGCTTTCCCTTCATAAGAAAGGTTATGGGTAAATGGCACATTCGCTCGAGACATTCTCGAAGCAAACGGTCCAGATAGGACTCCGAATCAGCATTTTCTTGGAGTCGTTCCCGGAGGGCTTCAAAACGACCCACGAGAGCTCCCGAAGGTCCCCCAGGGAACCCACAAAGCGCCCCGAGGAGCGCCCAAGAGGCACCCAGAGGCCCCAAACAGCGCACGAAGAGGCCCCAGGACTTCCCAAGAAGGCCCCAAGACAGCCAAAGACAGCCCAAGATGGTGCCAAGATGGCCCGAGAGAGCACCCACAGAACCTTACGACATGCCCAGACAGACCCAGAAGACCCCAGTTTACCCAAGAGGACCCCGACCAGGACCCCAAGAGGCCCCAAGGATGCTCCAAGATAGCCCAAGACGGCCCCGACAGCCCCCAGGAGAGCCTCAAAAGATCACGTGGACCCGTCTCTTCTTCGACGTCCTTTTTCGTCGGGCTCCTTACCGTCTTTCGTCGTCGTCGTCGTCGGCGCCGTCCTCCTCCTCCTCCTCCTCCTCCTCCTCCTCCTCCTCCTCCTCCTCCTCCTCCGCTTCGTTCCTCCTCGTGCTCGTCCTCCTCCATCTTTTCCTCCTCATCCTCGCGCTTGTCTTCCTACTCGTTGTCCTCCTGCCCCTCGCTGCCCCCCCCTGTCATCCACGCTGCCATCTTCGACATCCGCCGCCTCGTCGTCGTCGCCATCATCCTTTTGCGTACTGCCCCCCTACGAACCCAACGGACAGCATTGGCGCTTCCCGTTCTGGTCCGATCCGGGTTTTTGTAGCCCCGCTCTCAGCGTTCGCACACTCCCGGGACGTCGCAAGTAAGCAGGGCAGGACTTGCCGTGAGCAGGGCACCACGCAGGGCGGTGCCGCCACACCTGGGCGGAGAGTGCCCCGAGCGCGGCTCGCTCAGGCCCCGATCCGTGGAGGCGGGCCTCCGTGCAGACAGTTGGCCAGCGCCCCCCAAAAACGGGGTCGTCTGCGCCGGCCTTGGCGCGCAGGCTGCCCGCGTGAGCTCGCGCGCAGGCGCCGTCGCTCCCCGTGCGGCGTGGCGCGCTGGCGGCCTGTGCAAGCCGCCGCGTGAGGGCGCTGTGCCATCTCGCGCAGGACCCGTTTGTGATCGTCGCTCCGTCGGCCGGCGCTCTCCCGCAGGCCGCGCTCTCCGACGCCGGCGCCTCCGTCCCCATCGCCTCCATGGTCTGCGCGGGCGGGGTGGACCAGGAGGATTATGGGGAGGAGGAGGAGGAGGAGGAAAAGGAAGAGGAGGAGGAGGAGGAAAAGGAGGATTATGAGGAGGAGGAGGAGGAGAAGGAAAAGGAGGAGGAAAAGGAGGAGGAGGAGGAGAAGGAAAAGGAGAAGGAAAAGGAGGAGGAGGATGAATAGGAACATTGTTTTCGCACCTCGAACGCCCCTGGCCTCGACTGCCCACGGCCCTGCGGCCTGGGCAGTCGAGGCCAGGGCCCCACGGCCGCGGCCCCAACGGACGGATGCGGGGCGGTCTCGCGCTGCGGGAGGCCCCGCGCGGGGCATGCCCCACGGGATCGCGTGTGCGTGGGAGCGCGCCTCGGTATCCAGACCGCGAGGGCCCGGATGCCCAGGGGCACCCGGTGGGCTGAAGCTTCCATCGGGGGCGGAAAAGAGGGGGGTGATGACTAGGGGGGGGTGGATATCATGGCGTGGGCCATGATATTTCCCCAGATTTCATGGCGCCTCTTCTTATTTCATTACGTCCCTGTCCCCCCCGCTGGGCCGCGCACATGCCGCCGGTCGTGATTTGCACCCCCCCCCCCTCTTGGAAACCCCCCTCTCCAGTGACGCGCACGCCTCGAGATGTGGACATTCGCGCTCGGGGGCAGTGCCTCGTCCCGGGCACAGTGCTGGTGGTCCCGGGGGTCGGAGGCGGCCCCCGCAGGCTGCAGCGCAGGAGGCACGCCAGGATGGAAGAGATCGTGAAGTCGGAGGTCTGGGGATGTGGATGCGATGTGTTCGATCAAATCTGTTGGGTCCCCGTACCACTTTCGGGGCCCACCCATGCCAGCATTGCATCCTGGATACATTGTTGGCGGGGCCAGGGGGTCCAGAAAACGGATTCCATTGCGCCGGAAACCAGGATGACATAGTGGTATGCGTACATAGATATATAAAGTATCGGCTCAGGATGTTCATCTCGATCCCAGCCATATTCCGATATGGTATATTTGTCCCAACCCTCCTGTGTTAGGTTTTCGTTTGGAGTCGAGCATTGTGGCCGCGTCCTTCCTTCTCCTCCTCCTCCTCCTCCTCCTTCTCCTCCTCCTCCTTTTCCTCCTCCTCCTCCTCCGCCTTCTTTTCCTCCCCCTCTAATTACCTCCTCCTCTTCCACCTCCCTGTTTCTCTCTCTCTCTCTCTCTCGCTCCCTCTGTCTCTCTTTCTCTCTCTCTCTCTCTCTATTTCTCTCCCTCTCTCTCTCTCTCTTTCTCCGCTTGTCTAGTACCTCTCTCGTACCTGCGTCCGATCTCGCCATCCCTGGGGGGCTGCGATCTGCGAATACGTGGCCACTTTCAAGGGCTACTGGAGGGGCCACCACAGTGACGCCATACTCGAATTCAGACCAGACGTCGCGTTCCCCGGGGGGGGCTGCGATCTAATCTGTCGCCACTTTCGAGGGTTGCTGGGGGGGCAGCACAAGTGACGCCATACGCGGACTCAGCTTAGACCTCGCCATCCCTGGGGGGCTGCGACCTGCAAAGCTGTCAAAGGGGGGCTGCTGGGGGGGCCAGCACAGTGAGGCCAAACGCGGATTCAGATTAGACCTCGCCATCCTGGGGGGCTGCGATCTGCGAAACTGTCGCTACTTTTGAGGGCTGCTGTGGGGGGGCAGCACAAGTGACGCCAAACCAGGATTCAGATTAGACCTTACCATGTTTGAGGGGCTGCGATCGGCGAACTTGTCGACGTTTTCGAGGGCTGCTGAGGGGGGGCAAGCAAAGTGGGGGCCCTACCCGGATTCAGTTTAGGCCTTGCCATCCTTGGGGGCTGCGATCTGCGAATCTGACGTCACTTTTGAGGGCTGTTGGGGGTCCAGCACAGTGACGTCATACGCGAATTCAGACTAGACCTCGCCATCCCTGGGTGGCTGCGATCGGCGAAATTGTCGCCACTTTCGAGGGCTGCTGGGGGGGGCAGCATAGTGGGGGCTCTACCCGTATTCAGTTTAGGCCTCGCCATCCTTGGGGGGCTGCGATCTGCGAATCTGTCGTCACTTTTGAAGGCTGCTCGGGGGACAGCACAGTGACGCCATACGCGAATTCAGACTAGACCTCGCCATCCCTGGGGGGCTGCTATCGGCGAAATTGTCGCCACTTTCGAGGGCTGCTGAGGGGGGGGGCAGCATAGTGGGGGACCTACCCGGATTCAGTTTAGGCCTCGCCATCCTTGGGGGGCTGCGGTCTGCGAATCTGTCGTCACTTTTGACGGCTGTTGGGGGTCCAGCACAGTGACGCCATACGCGAATTCAGACTAGACCTCGCCATCCCTGGGGGGCTGCGATCGTCGAAATTGTTCGAGGGCTGCTGGGGGGGCAGCGTAGTGGGGGCCCTACCCGGATTCAGTTTAGGCCTCGCCATCTTTGGGGGGCTGCGATCTGCGAATATGTCGTCACTTTGGAGGGCTGTTGGGGGCACAGTGACGCCATACGCGAATTCAGACTGATCTCGCCATCCCTGGGGGGGCTGCGATCGGCGAAATTGTCGCCACTTTCGAGGGCTGCTGGGGGGGGCAGCATATTGGGGGCACTACCTGGATTCAGTTTAGGCCTCGCCATCCTTGGGGGGCTGCGATCTGCGAATCTGTCGTCACTTTGGAGGGCTGCTGTGGGTCCAGCACAATGACGCCATACGCGAATTCAGACTAGACCTCGCCATCCCTTGGGGGCTGCGATCGGCGAAATTGCGCCACTTTTGAGGGCTGCTGGGGGGGCAGCATAGTGGGGGCCCTACCCGGATTCTGTTTAGGCCACGCCATTCCTTGGGGGGCTGCGATCTGCGAATCTGACGTCACTTTTGAGTGCTGTTGGGGGTCCCGCACAGTGACGCCATACGCGAATTCAGACTAGACCTCGCCTTCCCTGGGTGGCTGCGATCGGCGAATATGTCGCCACGTTCGAGGGCTACTCGGGGGGGGGCAGCATATTGGGGGTCCTACCTGGATTCAGTTTAGGCCTCGCCATCCTTGGGGGGCTGCGATCTGCGAATTTGATGTTTTTTTGAGGGCTGTTGGGGGTCCAGCACAGTGACGCCATACGCGAATCCAAACTAGACCTCGCCATCCCTGGGTGGCTGCGATCGGCGAAACTGTCGCCAATTTCGAGGGCTGCTGGGGGCGGCAGCAAAGTGGGGGCCCTACCCGGGTTAAGTTTAGGCCTCGCCATCCTTGGGGGGCTGCGATCTGCGAATCTGTCGCCTTTTTTGAGGGCTGTTGGCGGTCCAGCACAGTGACGCCATACGCGAATTCAGACTAGACCTCGCCATCCCTGGGGGGCTGCTATCGGCGAAATTGTCGCCACTTTCGAGGGCTACTCGGGGGGGGCAGCATATTGGGGGTCCTACCTGGATTCAGTTTAGGCCTCGCCATCCTTGGGGGGCTGCGATCTGCGAATCTTTCGCCACTTTTGAGGGCTGCTCGGGGGCCAGCACACTGACGCCATACGCGAATTCAGACTAGACCTCGCCATCCCTGGGGGGCTGCGATCTGCGAATCTGTCGCCAATTTCGAGGTCTGATGGTGGGCAAGCACAGTGACGCCATACGCGATTCAGACTGGACCTCGCCATCTTTGGGGGGCTGTGATCTGTGATTATGTCACCACTTTCGAGGGCTGCTGGGGCGGGGGGGAAGCATGGTAAAGGCCCTACCCGCATTTAGATTCGACCTCGCCATCCCTGGTTTGCTGCTATATGCGAAGCTACGGCCACTTTCAAGGCTCTTCTGGGAAGGGCCAGCATAGTGTGAGCCCTACCCAGACTCAGATCGGGGGCCAGCATCGTGGGCACGTGCCGCGGACCTAGATCAGACAAAAACCGTTCCCTTTAGGGGGGTGCGATCTGGGAAAGCGCTGCCACTGTCGAAGGGTTGCTTGGGGGGGCAACCCTCTTTCCTGACGAGCAGAGGAAATGACTGATCACCTCCATCAGGCCATTGCCCATCGATCGGTGCCCTGCGAGTCGCGCAGCTCGGCGAGCCTCCCAAGTAGCGTTCGCAGCAAATATAAGGGGTCCTTGCCACGCTATATCGCCCCCCGTAAAATGATTCCCAGCTCTTCTGGCCGCAAGTTGGGCGAGGGTTGGGTACATCGTCAGGGTTTAATTCCTTCACTCCGCGGCCCCACAGCTCCCGACCGCTTCCGCTGCCCCAGAGGCCAGAAGAACACAAAAACGCTTGGGTTGAAAACACACGGTGGGGGCGTTCGTCAAGGAATGTACCCGGGAGGCTTCAAACCCTCAGGGATTCCTTAGTCCCTCCAGCTTCCAGACCCTGGATTCCTTATCGAAGGGTTCTTTGTCCAGCGTCCCCACCGTATCGTCAGAAATGTGGGAGGTGTCCGGCGCCCGCGAGGTCTTCCGAAAGCCCGGAGACCGCGACGCGATCGGGGAGCAGCTGCTGGCCGTGGGCGACTCGCAGGGCACGCTCCACGTGCTCGGCGTGCCGAAGAACCTCGTGAGGCCGGCCGGCAAGGAGAAGCACACGATGGCGAGGCCCGCGCCACGAGCCAGAGGGGGGGTCCCGCAGAAGTCGTCGAGGCTCGAGGATCCATCGTCGTGGCGGGGGCGGGTCCTGAAGTCTTCGCCCGTTCTGGGCGTCCCCGGGCCCTCCGCGGGCCCTGGGATTGTCGGCGAGCGATGCGTCGAGCGCCGCGGCCTTCTCACAACGCTGCGGAGCGCACCGAGAGCGCTGCCGGAACGCTCGGGAACGGATCAATCCTCGCCGTGGCCCCGTGGAATTTTTGGGGCTCCTGTCGGGGTGGCCGGCGCGCGGCCCACCGCTGAAAGGAAGACGCCGTCCGTGTGGCGTCCTCAACATCGACTTCTCCAGCGCCTCGTGCACTCCCCGCCCCGTCGGCTGGCCTCGAGGGCGAGCCTTCTCCATGAGCTCCTCTCGCTCACCACCTACTAAACCAACCCAACCCAACCCGAAGGCCTCAATTTGCCTTCCATTCCCAGTGGGGGTGGGGGAACATCGGAAAAAAACATGGGACCCGTGCCCCCCCAACCCCAAATTCGGGTCTTCGTGTTGGTTTGAGGTGGTCTCGTAGGTAGTCACTCACTCAAGACGAAGAGCTGGTCCCGGGGGGACACCCCGCGGTCCAGTATACTCGGGGGCCCCCAAACGGGGTGGTGACCACACCGTGCGGTGAGTCGGTGGGGATTCGGGGTCACCGCACGGTTTTGGGGCTCGGGTCGCTCTCCGAGGATTTCTCTGGAGACAGGGGCCTCCTGGGTCCCAAGACCGTGCGGTGACGGACCGAGCGGTGAGGTCTTGTGGGATTTCGAGATCACCGCACGGTCTGTCACCGCACCGTGTCGAGACTCTCCATATACACATCGTATAAGCAAGACATCGGTGCCAGCACCCCCCCCAGCGGCGCCTCCAGCGGCGCCGCCAGCGCCGCCCGTCGTGATTCCCGCGCGCTGGGGAGGGGGGTCCAGCGCCGATCCAAGGAATTCGCGCCGACCTCCGAACATTGATGTGTAAGTACTTTTGTTTGTCCTTAGAAGGAACGGAGGTTCGAGTATAAGGGTTTTGTCCTTTGCTTGTCTGGGAGGCTTCTGTCGGCGCCACAGCCAGATTACCGTCAAAGCCCGGGTCAGAGCGCGCGTGTGGAGGGGGGCATCATGGCCAGGTCCTCGGCGTGAGACCACTGGTGCCCTGAGTCCAGAATCATCCCGGGCCGTGGCAAATCATGTTAGATTGTTGTGTTGCGAGGTGGAAACCCTGGGGGCACCTTGGCCAGGGGCATTTTTTGCAGTACCCGATTCTTGGGAGGGGCATGGTTCTCGTCTCGGTGGCCTTCTAGGTTCCAAGACCACGAAAGGACTGCTCTGGGTGAAAAGCATGTCCTGGGGAATGAGGCGAGACCTCTGTGGACGGGTCGCCACAGCAGTAGGATGGCACCGTTTGCAATGAAGTGTACGTAGTCTGTTCGTCGCTGGTTCGGAGGTGTTTTTGGGCGTTCCTAGGGGTTCTCGTCGCGATGGCTGAACTCAGCTCGAGAAGCTGGCCAGGATGGCGCCCGGGAGGGGTCTGGGGATTAATGTTGGACGGGCTCGGGGCAATAGGGACTGTTAATTGAAAATCGAAAATAAGCATGCATCAGTGTTTGCTTCCAGCTATTCCCGCCAAGGAGCTGCTCCGAACGTGTTGGAAATTTGTGTGTCTCTGCGGTGCAATATGTGTCCCAAGTATGTGTGCGGGGTATTGAGCATGTTCCGTACGATTGTTGTTATGCACGTTGCGGATGTGTTTGTATTGCGTGCTTTCTATTTGTGTGATTTTGCATCTTCGGTTATTCACGCATGCCCGCTCGCTTGCAGCATAATCAGGGCATGGTTTGCGTCTTCGGGGTCAGCTAGTGGGGAGATGGTTCCCAGTGTCCTTGCGAGTTCTCTCTCTTTGGCCTTACTAGCTCCTTCTCGTGGCACTCTTGAGGGCCTCTTTGATAGTTTTGGGAGCCTTTTGAGCAGTCTCGGGACTCTCTTGGGCCATCTCGGGGTTCTCTTGGGGCCAATCTGGGGGGTCAGTCGCCTCGCGGTTCAGAACCTTCCTTCCGACATGGCGAGAGCGGGAAAGTCATGCAATACCCGAGGACAATCGATGATTTGTGCCACTCGAGGCCGTTTTGGGAGTCTTCTTGGGCCCTCCTCTTGCGTTTTCCGAGCCTCCACGGGCCGTCTTGAGGTCACCTGGATGTTCGGGATGCCCTTCCTGGCGCGCTGCAGACATTTGGGCCATCTTGGAAAGCATGTTGGGCATCTTGGAGGCCGCAGTGGGCGGTCGGAGCCAGAAATCGTGTTTTTGTCATTGGTTTGTCGTCTTCTCTTGTGTAGACGTTGCAACACCTTTTTGCTGCGGCGTGGCATCCATGTTGTTGCCTGTTGCCTCCGCCGAAAACCTCAACCAAAGAAAGGATGCCCATCCCGAGATGCCGCCGGCCTCCTTCGAGGACGGCCAACATGCCAGCAGGTCGCGATCGGTGGACAATCGGCGCGATGCGTCGGCCTTCCGGTTGGTTCTGGCTGACCCCCAGACAGGAATTGGGGCCGCAGGTGGTTGCTTATTCGCGGATCGATCATTCTTTAAGCAGCGCAGCCATCAAGGCGATTTGACAATGTCGACGGGGCCCAGATCGCGTAACCTAATATTTGTGTGTAGGTCCTCTTCCGCGTGTGTCAGGCGCGGAACTGCGCCCGCTGCGCCGCTGGTCGATGCCCGCGCTCAAGCGGGGGCGCGGCCCTGCGTTCCTGGGGCCTCCAGCCTGAATCGGTTAAATGAGAGAGTCTTGGTTTGGGGCCGGCCAAAAGAACATGTCATTTCATCGGCCGCGGGTCTGGGCTGCGCACTTTGGGGGGGCGCATCCAGGTCGTTTCCGCGCGGTGCTCTAGGGGGGGGGGGCTTTCGGGTGTCTCAGGCCTCTTGTGGGGCCTTTCGCGCGCTCTGCCAAGTCGCTCTTGGATTTACCGGGCGCGTGTGTCATTTTGAAAGGTCTGTGGCGGGATCCAGCAAAACCTTGGATACATGTAGAGAACACTTGAACCCTCCGGAGCATTTCTTGGCACATTCCTTTTGATGCGAAGTCCCCCCGCAGCCCCGCAGTAGTCCAGTCTGCGCCATGTTTGCGCGACGCGGGGTTCATTCAGGCGGCGGTATTTTATCCTCAATTGTCGTTCGGCGCCCTGCCAAGCGATTTTTTTCAGACCGCAAATTCTTTTGATTCACGCACTCCGTGCTGCGTCGCGCATCTGGCGGCCTCATGTTGAGAGCCTCCGTGTAGGCGCGAGAGATGAAACATGACAATAAACAGGCCGACCGGAAACATTTTTGGTGGCTCCTAGGGCCAGTGGGGGTTTCGGGAAGTTCGTCCCATCCCCCCCTCTCAGATTGTATGTTGGACCCCACGCGGGGGGGAAACAGGGAGAGGGGGCAATCCGAATTCTTCACATGCCCTTACGCCCCCTGCAAGCGGGTGTCGGCTGATTGGTGTACTTCGTACGTCCGCGACCTTGTCACTTTGTGTACTGAATGTTCGTTATACGTGCATTTGTTGTACATGACCCGTGCCAATTTATTTGTGTATCTGTTGTACGCACGTCTTGTATGGCGTTGATACAGCATAGGTGTTCTCGTGGTATGGATGGATGCATGTGCTGGGGATATGTAATGTGCGTGTTGTGTATGACGATTATGTCTGGCCGTTTCGTACGCGTGCTTTTATGCATGACATATATGCGTTATGTCGTCACGCGTTCGTTTCACATTATGTAGTGTTCGGTCGTTGCTTCGTGTCTCGTGCATGGGCGTACGTGTTATTGACGTATGTTGCGCATGGCGCGCATGTCTGCCATTCAACACATACGAGGTTGTCGATTCCCATTACGTCTGACCACGACACGGCTGTTGATGCTTCGCCTGTCACCAGTGATTAGCGGGAGTGCGAGGCCTGGCCGCCGCATTATTCAGTATCGGTTCTGCTGTCGCGTGCCGAAGACTCGAGTAGGGAGATGGGGGATGTTTTGGAGATTTCGGCCCAGTGGCCGCGGTATGCAGGTCTGGCGGTCGGTCCAGGGGCTTTTTTTTCATGTCCCACGAGCGCTACCCGTCGGGGTGGGTAGAACCGTTCCCAGGTCCGCGCCGGTGTCTTCGGCCGGCGCTGGAGCCCAGGGGTGGCGCGGGAGGCGCCGCTAGGGGGGGGGGGGGGGGCGGGAGCCGGCCCAAGAACTCCGCGCGCAGGTCCAGAGTTTTCTCCTCCTCCTCCTCCTCCTCCTCCTCCTCCTCCTCCTCCCTCCTCCTCCTCCTCCTGTCTGCTCGTTTCTCCGCGGGGCGGTGCCCCGAGGTGCGCGGGCCCTGCGCGGTGGCTCGCCGTCCGCGGGCTCTCCGGGGCCCCTCCTGGGCCCCTGGGGCTGGCCAGCGCGCGGGTCGTCGTGCACAGCAGCGGCTCCAAGCCAGGGGGCCAGCTGCGAACCCTGCCCCCGCCCCCCACGAGTTCTGAGGGGGAGGGCGGGGTTTCACTCCGTGCGGGAGCGCCCGAGTGAAGAGAACCCCACCCTCCCCCTCCGAAAATCGTGGGGGGCAGGGGCAGGGTTCGCACGCGGCCCCCTACCAGCGGGGGCCCCGGGACATGCGGGGCCGCAGCCCCCCCATCGGGGCCGCGCGCTGCGGGGGTCCGGGCGCAGGTTCCTCGAGCGGGAGGAGGCCCGCGTCAAGTACTTCGAGGAGCGCCGCCACGCACTGGCCGAGCTGCGGGAGAAGATGGAGAAGGAGGAGCCGCGGCGGTTGCAGGTGGCAAGATTCCGGCCGAGCGAAAGTTTGGACGCCCGAGATGGGTACGGAAAGAAGAGGGAATGGGTACAATGCCCAACAGCAGTTCCTGTTCATATTTAACAGGACTCGCTGTCCGCGCCGCCGCGGCCTGTGTCCATTTGAGACAGAAGACCGCTTGCCCAATAGCGGCCGCTGTTGGTTTGGGACAACATTTGTTGTTGGGCATTGTACAAATTTGTTCCGTACCCATTTCGGGCGTCCAAAAAAAGGGGGGGGGAGGGAAAGGTGGGGGTACGCAATCTGCTCCATGCAGTTGGTCTCGGCCCCGCAATCTGCTGCAAGCAGCTGGTTTCGGCCCCGCCGCCGGGCCCATTCCTCGATACACGGGCGCCTCCTTTAAAATCAGCTCCGTGAGCTGATTCTCAAACCCCCCCTTTGCTATCCCCCCCTCTCGCCCGGCCCGAAAGATCGGGGGGGGTGGGGGGCGGCGGCCTTGTGAGAAGTGATCGATGGCCCCAGGATCGAGGTCTCTGCGCGTGTTTAGGGGTTGGGCCTACGGCGACCGCCAGGTAACACCCCCCCCCCTCGCCTCTTTGGAAGCCGCAGGGGGCGCGCCGAGAAGGCTGGCTCATGCATCCAAGGCTGGGATGCAACTCCTGGGAGGCTAATCAACTCATCATCGGCGCTGGTTCTCCGTGGCCGGAAACTGGCCTGACCCGGCATCATCTTGGCCAGATCCATCCTCTGAATCCGCCTCAGTTTTGGGCCTGATCCAGGCCAGCCCGTCTCGATGGTCCTTCCATCGGGCTCAGCATCCCGATGGTCGTTCCCGCGAACACCTCCGCTCATTTTAGATTTCGATTGTAGCTCGTGGGTGAAGACGCGACAATGACAACCGCTGGGCTGAGGAAGCTGCCACTGGCGCCCCCCCACGGCCAACCTCGACCCCTCAGCGGTGATGACCCTCGCGCGGCATTCGAAAACGCGCGCCGCGCGCAGCTCATCACCGCTGGGGGGGGGGGGTGAGGCCGTCCCTGGGAAGGCGCCAGGGATCGCTTCCTCAGCTCAGCGGTTGCGATTGTCTTGTCTCTTTGTTCCTGACGACCACCCCCCTCCGCCCCGCCCTGCCCCCCTCCCCTCCCCCCTTCCGCACCCCCGCGCCACCAAGAGGAGCAGATTGCCGTGGACAAGGACGCCGCAGAGAAGGGGAAGTCCTCTGAGAAAGACCAGGACCTGGGGGGGCCTGGCCGTGTGCAACCCAGCATTCATGAGGAAAATCCTGGAGGCCTCGCGTGGCGCGTAATAGTAGTATGATCTAGTCCACATGTCAGTTCCGCAACCTGCAGATGGGTCGACGTTTGCGCAGCGATGTCCCGGAGCCAGTCCGACGTAATCCGGCGTGCATCCGACGGAGTCCGACGTGATCCGACGTAAATCCGATGTGGATCCGACATGAATCGGGTCTCAAGTTCCGAATGGGGGATGGACTGCAGAATCAATTCCCCCCCAAGTCGAATCTTCTGCCGAATCCACGGCTGTCGACTCGAGAGGGAATATCTGTTCCCGGGCGACGAGGAGGAGGAGGAGGGAGGAGAGAGAAGCAAGAGGAGGAGGAGGAGGAGGAGGAGGAGGAGAAGGAGGAGGAGGAAGGAGGAGGAGGAGGAGGAGGAGGAGCCGCCCCGGCCCGGGAGCTGCCGCGCGAAGGGCCTCCAGGATTCTCCTATCACGACTGCCTGCCTGCGGGGGGGGGGCCTGGGCCTGGGCAGGCGTGGCGTGCCGTGCTTCCTGCCTGGCCAGGCGGGCGTGCCGTCCTGTCCTGCCACGCGGAGGGTCCTCCTCCTCCTCCTCCTCCTCCTCCTCCTCCTCCTCCTCCTCCTCCTCCTCCTCCTCCTCCTGGGAAGACGGAAGCTTGGTAGACCCCGACCAGAACCACATCGGACCCCATCAGATAAGAAAAAACTGCCCATCTGGAGAGATATTTTCAAACATGTTAGACCTCGACCTCATGGCCCCTGGAAGCTATACACTACAGTCGGGACACACATATTACGGACCTCAGGGAGACAAATCGACATTGGACGTCTTCGCAATCCCAAAGGGACTAGGACCTGGAGTAAAACACTGTCGAGTTGCTTGGAGAGTTGGCCGCGTCCTACAGCTAATCCCTCGGAGCGCCCCACGAGACCATGTACCCGTTATCTTAGCTATGCAGTACGAGTCTCCCGTGACGATGCCGAAAACTCTGCGACGCGGATGGGACCACAACAAATTGGTTGAGGCCCTTCAGAACGGAGTTCATCGAGAAACTTTTCACTTGGAATTTGAACGAGAGATGATGGCCCAAACTACATATTTTGCCGACTGCAATGAGAATGACCAACACACGGATAATTATGACAATCGTTGGGCTGAGGTCGTGCAGCGAGTTGGCCTGAATCATTTTGCCATACCTGATCGACCTGTGGACACCGTAGAGCGTCGACTCCAACAAGAACGACTTCGACTTGTCCGAGAACGTCGCGCACATCGAACTGAGACAGCAGAGTTCTTCGCCATCTACGGTCACTACCATTGTTATGACGACACCCACTTGGATTGTTTGAAGAAGATCAGACGGATATCTAACCAACTCCGTCGATGGGCCCGCAGACGTCGTGCACTACACCGAGAACGGCTATACCAAGAACTCCGACATGCTCGAGCAGCTGGACAACAGGCTGAAGTACATAAGCTGGCTCGACTTCTATCTGGCCGATCTACTGGTGTGAAGAACCGACGCTACAACACGATCACCTCATATCGACCGACTCCCAGAACTCCAACAGCATCTATCTCAAGCTGGTGCTGACGGAGGCATGGAGGCGACTCACATTCCTGATCTGGATAGCATGATAAATAACTTTCTCATGGAAGCAGCGACCATCAAGACGCGCACTCACAGCATGGAACGGACAACGGAGGTTATGCTACACAACATGGTATGGAAGCTACGCAGAGCACGAGGACGAAGATGTGGGCCTTCTTGGAGCGTTCCCGCCGAACTCGCACTCATAGTCTTGGAGCCTGGCCACCTTTCACGTCAGAAGAACATGAAGTTTGGCATCGGCTACGACGGAATGGGAAACACACAACTACCCGATGCAGCTGAGGAACGTCCTGGATTGGGCCTCCATCACAATGTCTCTGGGCCTGGAGAACCAATACCACCGACACTAGCACTACCTGAATGGGATGCTGTCGATCGAGACCCCTTCGACGACTTGAATGAGGAGGCCCTCGACTTCACCATGACATCTGGAGGGAGGCCGCCAATGGTGGTCCCAGAGATGCTTCACAACATCCCGACCGACCAGACGACCAGAGCAAGAGATGGGCGCGACAACGTGTTGAACTCTACATCCAAGCTCACTCGTGCTCGAGAGGAATTCGAGAATCTCGTGATCCGATCCCTTCAGGTTGGTCAACTTCCAACGAAGTCTAGTATAACAGAAGGAGTCTTGCTGGACAAGTCCAACGGCAAGACCCAGATGTTGAGCCAACGTATTGTGCATTTATCTGATGCTTTCTGGAAGTATTGGCATGCAGTATTATATAGTTACGGGGATCGCGACGAACAATTTGATAGATCTTTTCCTGGCCACTGGCATGGTTTTCTGAAATATCGGAGGAGAGAAGGAGCTATACTAGTCCAGCTACGAGTAGGATGGTCCCTGAGCAACTCCGAGACCCCGAACGTATGCGAGTTGCATGGCATGACGAACGCTTTCAGGCGCCCTCTTGCTGACGACCTCCTCATCCAGTCGGAGGATATGGTCCGTGAGGATTTGAAGGATTATGCACGCCAGCGCCTAATTAACAGCGTCGTCAAAATCCCGATCGACAACAAGTTTGAGGCTTTTATCTGTAAGAATGGGGGACGCCAGGGCTCTCGTGAGGCACCGAGGCAGTTTGTAGGCGTTTTTGACAAGGGCTACATCGAGATCCACGAGGCCAACGGGACCCCCCATATATATCTACAGCACGCTCGGGACCCCCACCCTGGACTGCACTATGGTAGGTTTCGCTGATGATTTATTTCGCCGTCGACTTTTAGAAGACTCTTCGGTTTCAGGGGCTCTGGGGGCGATTCGACTGGGAGACGAAAGCATGAATAACATCCTTTGGAAATGGCACTTCCGCCAGAATATGCAGAAGAAAGACATCATACCATGTCTAGGATCACACAAATCGAACAAGCGCTTCCAGGAGAGTTGCCCCAGTAGCTACGGCACGGTGCGCACGAGCGCCAGACACTTAGGTGCACGCCGCCACGTGCGCGGCTCCAACGCCACCGAGCTGGAGTTTCGTATACAAGCTATACACGCAGGCTGGTCTGTCAGTGGTTTATTCTGGCACGAACGAGGTTTACGCAGATTGAAGCGTGAGCTGTTCCTGGGCAAAGTAGTGGAGAGTGGCATCACAGGTCTTGAAGCTTTCGCTTTGTCTCCTACTGAGTACCAGAAAATCGACTCTTGCATCGTCAAGTATTTACGAGTTCTGATGAAAGGTGCTGCCACTTTCCACGATGGCTCTCACACTCACTCTCTGCGGAATTCAGAAGTGCTGTACAGATGGCGAGTTCTCCCTTGCCGCGGGGAGTTGGCGGTGCGTCGAGTCAAGTGGTTACAGAGCATGCTTCTGCGCCGACACGCACATTGTCAGACGGTAGCAGGTATTTTTGGCCACCTCAGCGACGAGGCTCCCACTTTACAGGGCCGTGGACAGCTCAGCGATGCAGCGAACCCGCGGGCCAAAACCTTCGACCAGAACTTCCAGCTCTTTCGAGGGATCAGTGGGGCCGAGAGTTTTTTCGAAGTCTGGGAAGATAGTGGTTTCTCGTGGAAGGCGCTCTTCGACCCCTCCTCCGAGTCTTCGCATGAGTTTCTGAAGATCGACCCCTCGACTCTTAGAGCCGCAGCCTTTACGGACAATGACAAATGGCGCTCTCTATTTCCTGAATTACATTGTCCTGGAACCAAGAGCGAAAACATCTTTACGTGTATGATCGAGAATTCAGGGCTCCCCCTGTGGTCTCCAATTTGACACTTATCGGGCACTCATGGGCCGCCAGACTAACGGACATCGGGTAAAGTATATCCTACATCGTGGAGTTACTACGAACCGATGCCCCAACTGTCTGAGCATCTTTCGGGACGCTGACAACGCACGCAAACATCTTATACAATCATATGGCTATGGTCGCTGTGCCATGGGTCGTGCTCATATGTCCTGGGAACCCGAGCAGATGGGTGAATGGAGATGCCCTGTATGCCCCAAGCCCTCCGCAGTTTTTGAGTCGAATATCTTGCTGTTTCGGCACCTTCGCGAGTTGCACCTACCACATCCGCTACCAGGGCTACATCATGCCGGCCTATCTCGAGGCCCCCGAAGGATCTTCTCCGACTCAGGAGGGGGACAAAGGCAAAGGCAACGACAAGAGCAAGAAGCAGAAGACCGACGGCACGGGCAACGCGGCCGAGGTATCCGCCGCGCTCAAGAAGAAGATCGACGACCCCACTCGCAAGCTCCTCTGCCTTCTTATGAAACAGCTACTCAAAGTCAGCCAACAGGGACGAGATCTCGCAGGAGTGGTTCTGGACACGTTCATATTCCCAGCCACGTGCATGCTGATCGCCATGATGAGCGAGCAGACCGTCCTATACGCCGCGGCCGTCAAGAAAGCAGGCAAGGATCACGAGTTCGGCCCGCCCTTCATCTGGGCCATGGGAGGATTGCTCAAGGGACTGGTGTCCCTGGGCGACGCGATTGGAGCACAGAACGCCCAGACAGTCAGCAAGTGCTTCAAGGAGTACGCCGAGTACTCAGTCGACACGAAGTGCGAGCTCGTGCTATTCTGCCGCCAGGACAAGGTCTACAACAAAGAACAGCGTCGCCTCACGGTTTCATGCCGAGACCCAGCGTTTCGCAACATCCTAATCAGTTCGATGCTGCAGATCCAGGGTGTGAAGCGCAAATACGGCCGTGCCCCAGCAGCGTACATGGAGAGAGAGAGAGAGAGAGAGATTCAACAATTCTTCGAGACGCTGCTAAAATAAAGGTGAACACATCTACATATGATGATCGATCTACCACAGCATTGGACGTTACATCTACGAGTCCTGAATGCGAAATTCTGGATGACGATCTACAGGCTCTTCATCTGCCAGATGATACTCCACCCTGGACCCAGGCACAGCGCTTGAGTTTCTTGCGAGGGGAGGATAAGAAGGAGTCGTTTGCTACTGCTGTCGATAATCCTCCACCTCCTCGACCAGAACTGAAATCGTCTGAGGCCCCCGTTTTATATTTTTCTCCGCCTCCTCCTCTTCCTCCTCCTCCCGCCCGACCCTCGGATGCCCATGCACTCACGGAGTATTTAGCCTCGTGCGGGGTTTTCCCAGGGACCGCCAAATTCGAGACACTATTCAAGAGTAGGCATATACTGAGCATAGCTAAATCACGAGCTACCTCCTAGTTGCCCTGGTCCCTCGTGGCTACCTCATGCGTCGGTGGTTGCATGGGGCCAGGCTGGTCTCTCTCGGGACATCAGCCGCGGCCCTAGGTGCATAGAGCATGACATATGCACTCTCCTCTTAAAGCCAGAGGTTCACCGTGCCAGTAGCCATTCGCAGTGGTGCGAAATATCACGATTGGCGATTGCGCGATTTTGCAGAACAATAGCTTGAGTATGTAATCACTCACTATGACAGAAACAAGGTTGGCGCCGAAGGTGTGCGAATCGAATCGAATCGAATCCTCCTCCTCCTCCTCCTCCCCCTTCTCCTCCTCCTCCTCGTCCTCCCCCTTCTCCTCCTCTTCCGAGGGGGGGCCCCACCTGCAGGCCCGCGCGGCAGAGCGCCACGATGGCAGGCTCCGAGCACATCTTGCTGCCAGGCCTCCGGGCCGTCAACGAAGACTGATGGGCCTGTTTTCCACCACCACCACCACCATGAGTTGGAGAGGGGAAGGGGGTGGAGGAGGAGGAGAAAGAGAATGAGGAGGAGGAGGAGGAGGAGGAGGAGGAGGAGGAGGACCCCCTCCCCATCCAACTTGTGGTGGTGGTGGTCAAGCCCATCAAAAACGGCTCGGGAGGAAGAAGCGGCCAAGGGTCGGAATTTCCACGAACCTGGTATTAAAAAAAAACCCGGCAAAGCAACCTAGCATATCTGGAAGCATTCCCGCAGTCGCAGTCGCATTCGCAATGACAGTCGCAGTGGCAACGGCCTTACGATCCAGTGGAGTCCTAAGGAATCCTAAGGGGTTCCTAAGGCAACATTAGGCATCTTTAGGAATCCATAGGAATCCTTGGGAAACCTTAGGAATCCTTCGGGATACTGATTCCTAGGGGTTCCTATGGATTCCTAAGGATTCCCAGGGAATCCTAAGGATTCCTTCGGATTCCTGACGATGCTTAACTATGCCTACGGATTCCTAAGGATGCCTACGGATTCCTAAGGATTCCTATGGATTCCTAAGGATTCCTATGGATTCCTACGGATGCCTCAGCCTGCCTCAGTTTCAGCCTCAGCCTCAGCCTGCCTCGGCTTGCCTCAACCTCAGCCTCAGCCTGCCTCGGTCTCAGCCTCAGCCTGCCTCAGCCTCAGCCTCAGCCTGCCTCGGCCTCAGCCTGCGTCAGCCTCAGTCTCAGCCTTCCTCAGCCTCAGCCTGCCTCAGCCTCAGCCTCAACCTCAGCCTCAGCCTCAGTCTGCCTCGGCTTGCCTCAGCCTCAGCCTCAGCCTGCCTCGGCATCAGCCTGCCTCGGCCTCAGCCTGCGTCAGCCTCCCCTCCTCCCCCCCCCTTCCCCCCCCCAATCCAGCCTCACCTTGTCTCAGCTTCGGCCTGCCTCGGCCTCAGCCTCAGCCTCAGCCTCAGCCTCAGTCTCAGCCTCAGCCTGTCTCGGCCTGAGCCTGCGTCGGCCTCAGCCTCAGCCTGCCTCAGCCTCAGCCTGCCTCAGCCTCAGCCTCAGCCTGTCTCAGCCTCCGCCTGCCTCAGCCTCAGCCTCAGCCTCAGCCTCAGCCTGCCGCGGCTTCCCTCGGCCTCAGCCTCAGCCTGCCTCGGCCTCAGCCTCATCCTCAGCCTGCCTCAGCCTCAGACTCAGCCTGCCTCAGCCTCAGCCTGCATCAGCCTCAGCCTCAGCCTGCCTCAGCCGCAGCTTGCCTCAGCCTCAGCCACAGCCACAGCCTCAGCCTCAGCCTCAGCCTGCCTCAGCTTCAGCCTCAGCCTCAGCCTGCCTCGGCTTGCCTCAGCCTCAGTCTCAGCCTGCCTCGGCCTCAGCCTCAGCCTGCCTCAGCCTCAGCGTCAGCCTCTCAGCCTCAGCCTGCATCAGCCTCAGCGTCAGCCTCAGCCTGCCTCAGCCTCAGTCTCAGCCTGCCTCAGCCTCAGCCTGCCGCAGCTCGGGCATTCAAAGTGTGACACAGGACTGGTGTCCTGGGAACACGAAGATCACGAAGTGGCCCACAGTTGGCTCCCGGCAATCAAAATATCGTGCAGGAGTTGTGTTCTGGGAACACGAACACGAAGTGGCCTACAGTGCGCTCCGGGCATTCATACTGTGGCCTGGGAATGGTGCTCTGGGAACACGAAGGGCACGAAGTGGCCTACAGTAGGCTCCGGGCATTCACAATGTGGCCTGGGAATGGTGTTCTGGGAACACGAAGGACACGAAGTGGCTTACAGTTGGCTCCGGGCATTCAAAATGTGGCCTGGGAATGGTGTTCTGGGAACACGAAGGCACGAAGTGGCCTACAGTTGGCTCCGGGCATTCAAAATGTGGCCTGGGAATGGTGTTCTGGGAACGAATTCCTAAGGATTGCTATGAATTCGCAACGATTCCTAAAGATTCCTGGGGCTGCCGGTTTTGTCCGGTTTTGCCCTGATCCCGCCCAGACCCCCCTGGGGCGTCAAGATGTTCTCTTTTGACCCCACTAGAAGCCTATCAACAAAATCTGTTAGGTAAGTATCGATGCAGAGGGCGCGGATGAGCGACGGGTCCCGCTTCCGAAGGGAATCGCGTGTTTCGCCGCCGAACTCTGGGGGAGGGAAAGGGGTGTGTGGTGTAAAGGGGTGTGGTGTTAATGCTGGACCTGGCTAGGTTATATAAACTAGATAACATCGCCATTTCCACGATTGGTACCACACCCCTTTATGCCACACCCCTTTAGACGAACGAGGCGGCACCGGCCGCATTTTGGGGAGGGTACCCCCCGATCCATGGACTTGGCGACCGCGCGTCAAATCCATGGATCGCTAATGCATGCTTGCGCGCCCCCGAACCACGACGGAAGACTTTGAGCAGATTTTGCCCCAGGCCTCCGGACCGTCAACAAAAACGACGGCTCGGGAGGAAGAGCTGGCCACGGGTCGGATTTCCAAGATACCCTGCAGCTACCAAAAAACAAGATGTCGGAGGTCTGGACGCCGATCCTGGGCCCAGGTCAGATGCATCGTTAGAGAGATAGGCTGAGAAGTGGGGGGGCATCGACCCCCAATCGCCCATGCATCGCTGATGGGGGCCCGATGGCCCACCCCGCCCAGGGCGGTGCGGTTTCGCCATCGGGGGCCCGCATCGCCTATCTATCGGTGATGTGCCGCCGATTGCATCTCGATCCCCCCCCCCCGGGAGCCATTCCCTCCCCTTATGGCTTCCCCCTGGGCCCAGTTGGTCTAGGCCTCCTAGATGGGGTCGGAGTAGATGGGGTCGGAGGATCGCGCCGCATCGCCGATGCATCGGCGATGCGGCTCGATTTGAGTCCGCCTTGCTCCACGTCGACGTCGCCGATGCACCGCCGATGTCGACGTTGCATCGCCGGTGCATCGCCGATGCATCGCCGATGCATCGCCGATACATCGCCGATGAAGCGGCCTCTATTTGGGGGGGGAGGGCATGTGGCCGACGTCGCAGCTGTTCGAATCTGAGCGTTTCTCGTATCCTTCGGCCTCGGGGGCCCGCCGTCCGGCCCAGGGGCCACTGGAGTGGGATCCGTGGCGGGCGGCCAGCGGCCCGACACGGACGTCCATATATTCTTGGCAGCGCTCGGACGCGTGTGCATTTTGTCCTCGGCGAGAACCATGTGGGAGCATCCTGGATGACTTAGCAAAAAAAAAAAAAGCACGCACGAAATCGGAACATGCAAGAGGAATGGACGCCCGAGAGATGGCAAGTATTTGTGACCTCGCACGGGAACTACGCGCCTCGTCGGACATCTGAGGGCCGGGCCGGGGACGGTGCGCGGGTGTGTGTCTGTTCGTGTGCGTGTGTGAGTGAGAGAGTGTGTGTGTGTGTGTGTGTTCGTGTTGGAGCATCCAATCTGATGCAGGATGAGGATTCAGAGATTCCAGGGGGTCGTGTTCACGCGGCGGCGCCCAGGATAGATGGTTAGAGAAGCAGACCAGACCCCTGGTCGGGGAACTACTATGTAGTCGTTGACCCCCCGCCTTCCTCGGGCGCGCGCCTGGACGGTCGACGGCCAGACGGAGCCGAAGCGAAGTGGACGCCGAAGGTTTCGGTTATCATGTTTACAATCGTTATTGCTATACTCTTTAATGTATCGCCTTGTTACGGATGGCGTGCCCCGCCGCAGCATTCGCTTCGTTGACTCGACTGGCCAGCAAGCAAAAGAACAAGTGTGTTGGAGCTCTCCAGTGGCCCAGTGGCTTCCGCCCAGGCCGCGCAGGACCAAAAGAGGGCGCGTGCGTGTGCGAACGAGAGAGGGAGAAAGAGTTTGCACCCGCTTAAAGGAAGTCGCGGACAAGGCGGCCGAGGCCATGTACCAGAAGCTTGAAGCCG